ATGTATGAAAGTAGTTGTAATAATGTAAGAGTGTTTGTGTGTTATGATTTCATTGGATTAATAACAACCAGGAAGTAACAAAAAAATGTATGAAAGACGAAAGGCAGATGAATTATAAAATATATTGTCTATACTATATATTGTCCCTTACACATCAAACGCTGTGTATGATGATAGATAAGAACTTGGCCTATTATATGTTAATATAATTCAATCCCAACATGGGTTTTATCTCTTCTTTATTCTATTTTCTTCGTTATGTCCAATCGTTGTTGTTTGCAAAGTATTTTGCGTAGCAAATCGAAATGTGTTAATATTAGGCGAAACCGAGAATACTATCGTTGTTTGTTTGGGTATTTTGAGGCAGTTTATTTATAGAAGTGCTGTGTGCGACGTCCGAGGTTGATTCTCATTTTTTCATGTATATTTTAATAAGTTGTACGATGCAGATTTTCGAGCTTTCGTAATATAAATAATAACAATAAATATAAGTGCCGATTTCCGAAAATCACGACCATGCACATGAGTTTATATAGATTCTTTATTTCATCTGTGTGACAAATAAAGTTACATATGCTCGCAAGACACTCACATTAAGGGGAGGGTGTTTGCGTTCAAACCTTACGTGCGACTTCAGTTATCTCCAACCTGGAAACAACATTTAGAAAGAATCCTCTTTAAGGAATTGTTCTACTGTAAAAATGTACAGTCAAAAATAAAATAAATAACAAATACAACCTTGTAATACACAATATATAATACAAAATATAAGTATGTGGGGTGCAATAAATGCGACGCCACAGTAAATTTCAGGGGCAATGTGTTGAGCATAATAATAATAACAATAACAACAAATTATACAACCCATGTCTTAATATTTGTGCTTAATATTAAACAACTATCATCTTTGAAGATTCTCGATAATGCTTGTCAGAATTTGCAACCTTTGAACTTATTTTAATATTCTTGTTGCAAGCTGTGCAAATTGTCATTGTCAATATAATTATTTATTAGTTTTTACTGTCACAAGTTTCAATATATTTTGAAAAGTAGCAATTTTGGTAAAATTAAACTTCAACAAAGAAACCTACTTTGTAATAGAGACGACAATAATATATCAAGATGGGTTTTCCTTACTAAGCACAAGGCTATGTTATTATTTTCAATAGTAAAAATTCATCTTAATAAAGTTTAGAGAAACTTTTGTGAATTGTAAACTAAAAAGATAAATCCAGTCAATCTACTGGCTGTTATTTTGTATCTCTTAATTTGAATTAAACAACCAATTTTGTTGTTCAAATTTTTAAAATTAAGCTAAGTATTTGCTTTTTTACAACAGTTTAAAAATGCACTATATTAATATTAATTGTTCATTTATTCATTTACCTGGCTTTGGTAACATAAATAGCGTTTCCGATAAAAACAGTATTAATTGTAATATGCTTACAGGAATGCAGTAGTCTTGAAAATGACAGCTTTATAACTTATTTATCGGTCGGATATGTCCGTTTGTTTAATTAGTGATTTCTGAAGTCTGATTTAACATCATACATTGCGAGGCGTTTATGCTTTTCGATATTAGTAATGTTTCTCTCGGTGAACAATATAAAGTAATCGTTTTGTTACATACATGCAATTAACACTACGACCAAATAATACGAATCTTGTAGCAAGTGTGAATTGCTTTGCGTAGCCTTGTATTTAACTCGGAATTTACATTCATTAATTCCGTAAAAAAAAAACTTACGTTGCCAACAAACAACCAATAGTAAAATTAACGCTTTTTTGCAGTTTTGTTATTGTGGCTGAACAATTTGGACCCCCTGAAATCATGCGCACAAAGGGGTTGATACACTGTCGTGCCACTAAAAACGGGTAATTTCTCCATGATAATTACCCACAGATATATGGAACATAGTATGAACGGCCACACCAATAAAAACGCTTTTTACTATGTAAAAATTTTACTTGCAGTGATCGATTTGATAATTTCCATCAGACGTTCGGATCTCTTAAATAAGGGTACTAAATAATTGTCCATGAATTACGCATTGCATTCAGCCAGTGGCTGTACAATGGCTCACACCGTAGCGGTTGAGGATTAAACTGCGTATCTACTGTTGAAGAGATAGCGGGTAATTCTCAAGCTGTAAAGCTCTGATATTTTAAAGAACAATGCGACATACGAAACTAAGCGTGAGTTCTCAAGCATTAGTATTTATTAGGGTATTAGCGGCACAGTTGACTCATATCTAAATTTACGGATAATTTGGTGTCAAATTAAAGCGTAAATCTGTTGAGATAAACAAGTTACTGGCAGCTACCATTACAACAATATTATATTTTATATAGACCTATCTTTATATAAAAATAAACTAATTTACATTAATCCACCATGAAAACCCAAAATTGCAGCACCGTTAGTTTTAAAGAAAGCTCAAGGAGAAAAATTTTCTGCAGATGTACTAAAAAATTATCTGTAAAATTATCAAGAACAAACCGCTTTTAAAGAATATTGGAGAACTCTGATTATAGCTCGGTAGAAAAATCTAATTGAACTGAAAGGTTATAAAAATATTCATTATGAATGACAGCAGAAAGTGAAAACAGGGTGTACATCGGTGCTTAGAGAAACAACTTGAGAGCACGTAATTTTATGTCTTAATATCTAAGTATTCTTGAACTACAAAATAAGAACCATAAGAATAAACAAAAAGAGAAATAAAAATAATAATTACATTTATTTACATATTACTATTGTTATTATTACTATACACACTATGTTCGTTCAAGCTACAGTATCCTTCTCCATATAACAACTCATATTACTATGTCTACTGTCTCTAACGCCCAAGTCACAAAATCATTACCTGCTGCCGGTTCTAAAAGAGACCTTAGAAACGGACTCTATCATTGTTCTCGCATGTTGACAAAATAGCAATAGCGTTTGTCTTATGCCGTAGGGTCAGTTTTTCGTATTTTGTGAGGGCAAGACGCGAATGGTTCGTTTGTTTGGTTCAATGTAAGATGTGCTGCGCGATGTAATCTATTGATCAGTGACTTTATTTATATCTCAAAAGTAATCAATTACATTTATAATAAAGATGTTAAAATTGTGCTTACAAAAATTGAATTTTGTTGTGCAATTTTGACTCTTTTATATGGTCCAAAAATTATAAATCGACAAGTCACTCAACTATTGAACTGTTTGGTGGAAGCTTCTGTTTACATTTTTTCTATCTTTTTGTTTCTTTCTTGGTTTATCATAAGTTGGCGTTAATTTTATAGGTAAATTTTTCTTTATCTAATCAACATGTCTGGAGAGTTTGGATATCACTGATTTTAAAACATAAGTGCAATTTTTCTCCTTGAGCTTTCTTTAAAATACTTCTAATAGTGCTGTAATTTTTGAGTTTCATGGTGGATTAATATAAATTAGTTTTATATTTATATAGAGATAGATCTATATGAAATATATTACTATTACAATGATAGTTGCCAGTAAAATGTTCATCTCAACAGGTTTACATTCTGACATCAAATTAAAGCCAAAAATTACATTTAAACTTATGTCTGGATTATCCATTTAGAAGAATAATTTTAAAGACACCGCATGAGATGTTTACAGGTAAAGAAGATAAAGCTAGAAATTACATCATATATAATGTGCATGCAGTAACGGTTTTTAAATATAATGCCATTGACAAAAGCTGAGAACGCAATTCAACGTACTCGATCTGATTTTGCTTACACTGTATTGTGTGGATAAAAAATTTATTTGATCTTGTTACCTGAATTTGACAACAGTGGCCATACAAGCTGTAAACTTTGTTTATACTGGTCATTATCATAACGTCGCGCTTTATTGTATGGTTTGATATTGAGACACAAATTGCCTCATTTGTAAGTTAAATACAACAATAGTAATATGTGCCAAATCCTATATTAATTATTAATTAAGAATGTTCGCATTTTGTGTTCGTAGTGAAATCAAAGTCGTCCACTAAGGGGCGATTGTAAAACATTGCGTTAAGACAATTGTTGAACATCGTTGTAGCTTTCCATTATTTTCCTGACAGTTTCAACTTCAAATACAGTGTTTGGCGTTTTTCTGTTAACAATGGGAACTGTTAAGAAGCTGCTCAGCCAATGGCGTAAATCACATGATCATATTACACCAACTATCCACTGTGCTAAATAAAGATCAATGAAGAACCAGAAAACTCAAACAATTTCCCGCTTGGCGCAAAGTAGAATATTGTGCATTGTACTGTTACGTGATAAGTAAACTCCAGTGTTATAATAGATTTTGTGCTAAAACCTGTCCAATTTATCGGGTTCTTTTGTGACAATTACCAGTAAATTAAATTAACCAAATTTAATGTGTCCAAGCAATCCTTTTGTTTATGAGCTTATTTCTATTCAATCGATGACGTCTTTGGTCTTGTTACAATCTTTTCACTTATTACTAAATATACATTGTCAAATCTACATTTTAAGCCAAATGTTCATCAGAGCGCAGAAATGAGGGTCAATTTGGAAACCATTGACGGAAAGATAACGCGGTTGAACAAAAAGAAAGGGGCGTGAACGAGAATCATAACAAATATTGGGCATTGATGGAATAATAAAAATACCTAAAAGTAATGTATAGTAAACTATTGCATATAAAAGATGAATAATGACAACTATAATTATAGTACCATAACAGCTCTAATGGCTATAAACCCAACAAGTAATCCCATTCCCTATTGTCCTACCTATTGCATACACCCGCCAATCTAAAAGAACCCAAGTATATTCTTTTTTTTCTACCAATATCCAAATGTTCACAAAATGTCCATAGTAACGTCATCGAACTCCTGCTAATGTTTCCGAATTGAGCAAACGTTATGCGCTTGATGCGATATTAATGTCTGTTGTGGTATGAGTTACAAATACGTTATGGAAAATATACAGGAAATCGGTCTTCGAAAAGCCGTTCTAATCTGGTTGCACACTTATTCGCCACGAGTGAGAAAAGTGTAGAGCTTGTTAATTGAATGTATGATAAAGTCTGATTCACGAATCAGAATTATAACGATATGAAATAACGATATACAAACTCATACAGAAACCCTTCTCGGTCTAGACATACCTTAACATAAGAAGTCCCCTCTGCATTGTACACTCTACAGTTCTTGAATATTTTCCGCACATCATCTTCAAAGTCTTTGACTGTTTTATAATTGTTTGCTTTTATCTTGCGATCAATAGTGGACAAGTCTATTAATAGATGATAATGATTGGTATAGCATGCGTTGACAAACAGCGAAAAACATTGCAAAATCATGTTAGTTCAATATTATATCAACATTTCAACCTGTAAATCCGTACTCACCCATAGGGTTCGTAATGACAGTATAATAGTCAGGTACCTCTTCTGGATCTACTGGCTTTTGGAACGGCCACGATGAGTTATGTTTTTTAAGTTCATCTAACAAAGAAACCATTCCTGCGTAATGACTCGGACGTTTGCCCGTTCTAGCGCTTTGGTGCAGGCATACGCATGAGCACAATAATAATTTACAAAAACAAAAAAAAGCAGAAAACAAAAAAACAATAACAAAAGAAAGCAATTTTTGAGTATTGCTAGAGAACGAAAGCACGAGCATAGCATGCACAAATATAGCTTACTTCTTATCCATCTCGGGTGTCCAACCTGATTCCTCTAAAAGATGGTGAGAAAAAGATCAATATCAGAGATACAACGATAATATGATACAATATAATCCAATCTACAGTACCTCACGGCCTCATGCATCCACACATCAATCCTACATCCAAACACTATCACCCACCCTTTTCTCCATTCACTTTCCCCGTGCCCTCTTTGTTAACTTACTCAGCCCGGGAATTTCCATTGGATCTTTCTTTCCATTTTTACTAAAAGACAATCCATTATACGTCGGCAGATCATGATCCAGTTTGGAGAATACGCGTTCTCGTATTGCCTTTGTATTATTTGAGAGTGAGAAAGAGAATGATATGAAAGATTTTGATAGAGGCAATACAAAGAAAAAAATTGTAAGCACGAGTCATGCAACATGAAGATAATTTGATACAGCTTATCAACAGAAAGTTTATTGGCATACGCACTTCTTTCTGTTTCGATAATAATTCGTCAGTTTTAAGATATTCAACTTTCTTTATTAATTGGCACTACACGATAGATGCAAGATTTTTAGATGGGGTGAGTTGGAAACAATACGATGAATTCTGTATCATTACTATAGCCATTGCACTATTTGTACCGCATACTATACATTAATAGTTTTGTTCACTTTTAAGTCCAGTTCATCATTACCTGCATTATGTTTGCTCCATCATAATCTTTGATATATCCTCTCCACATGCTTTCTGGAAATGATATTTCTGTAGTAAATCCCTTTAGCCAACAAATGGATAAATGTATAGATTTTTAGTAAGCATCACTGTATTAAGTCAAGTATTAAATGGTCCATATTCACTGAACAATATTCATTCTGATGCCCAGCTCACAAACTTACATTCTTCTTAAAAAACCCAACCGCATAATTGTCAGCGTACGTCAAGAAATATTCGACGGGAGTTCTTTTTATGATCCAATCTTTGAGATGATTCATCAAATGACTGCCATATCCCTAAAAAAAAACAATGAGATTTCAAATGTCTTGGATAAGTGATCTATTACTTTGTCCCGACAACATCATTACTAGCACACCATTCTCCATCAACTATTCCCGCTTAACGCTCACACCTCTCCCTAGCATAGACCTTTCAAACGTATTTCATACCTTGACCTGTTCCATGGAATTAACCGCACAGAAAACAATTTCAGCAAACTTCTGTGAAGGAAACTGACGAAATGTAACACCGCCGACTATTTTTATTTTATATATATCCGGGTGAGGTTTTATTAGTGCTAGACTTTGATGGTCGCTGAAAGTGGAGGAAGATGGATGAGAGATGAATAGATTATAACTTGTTTTATAATTATATAAGGTAAACAATTTCACAGCATTTTACTTTGCCCTAGCCAAACTGTCCTGTTTTCGTATTCTTGTCCTTGTTCTCTCTCAACATCTCCCCATCCCTCCCCCACTTTCATGTCTTTCCCCCCATCAAATAGCAACACCTACTGATCATAAACCAATCGCGTAATATACTCTTTCGGCATCTTTGGCAGTTGATTTTGAAACACACATTTTAACCCTGTCAGTAAAACCAAACTTTCTTCAGAATCATCATTCCGAACCATACACATTTTAATTAGACCTTCTCGTTCTTCCATTACAGCCGTACGTTCTCGAACAGGTGGAGACACTGACACTCGAGATGTCGAATTTTTTGGTAAGGAATGAGATGGTTTTAATGATAATCGTGATGAATTTTTTGCAGAAGTCGAAGTGTTGAGTGATCTCTTTGAGTTTTGACGTTGTTTGGGTTTCACTGGAGTTGAAGGACAATCGCTGTGATCGTCAGTGCTGCTCGTCCCTCCCATTGTCCGATTATTAACCCCATTACGTATTGTGCCGTTTCCAACCTTTTTCACCTCACCATCACTAGCTTCACTTTTGACTTTTTCGTCCTGTTCATCCTCAAAGCTTGAACTTAAACTCCGATACGGAACTATTTCCAGGTCATTAGATTGCTGTCCTTGCGGAAAAGACGAAGCAAGTGGAGATGACAAGGAGAGCTTTGTCTTGGGAGATGAAGAAGATATTCTCGATTGTGGGGAAGAAGATCGTTTGTTGTAAGGAGAAGATGAAGATGAAGATGAAGATGAAGATGACAATGATGATGACGATGATGGCGTGGACGATGGTGTGGACGATGGTGTGGACGAAGGTGCTATAGACTGAGATGATAATTTGGCTTTGGGCTTTTTAGCTAAACTTACGCGAGGCCGGTTTGTTAAAGTTTTCTTGTTTGATGAAGGTATCTGAACTAATGCCGTTACTGTTGCTGTTGCTTCTGCAGACGCTATTGCTGCAGATTCTGTTGTTTCTGATGCAGCTGCAGCTGCAGCTGCAGCTGCCGCTGTTGTTGTTGTGGTAGTCGTCGTTGTTGTCGTTGTTGTCGTTGTTGTCGTCGTCGTTGTCGTTATCGTTGTAGTAGCATTCGAAATGCGCGGTGGAATATCTTTGTTCCACCTTTCCATTCCACTCGATTTAGTTGATTTCACTTTTTCACCTTTTTCTGTGACGTTTCCTTCTCCTCCAACCTTTCCCGCGTTTTTCTTTTTTCCAGGCCCAGTCCCAATTCGTGCTATTCCCAATCGTCTATCACTCTCTTTATCGTCAATATGAACCCCGCTATCTTCTCTTACTGAGTCATCTGATTTTATCCGCTTGCTCGGCGGTAATGCGTTCGAACTTGCGGTCGGCGATAACAATGATGTTTGGTTGTGATTATTGGTTCGTGGAGGCAAGCGTATTGAGCTAGAGGAAAGTGAGGATGAATTTGGCAGTATGCGTTTCGAAGGTGATGGTGAAGGTGATGGCGATGGGTATTTTCTCTTTTGAGGTTTTGGTGAAGGAACGTGTGTTGGGGGAGTTGACATGTTTTTGTGTAGATATATATTATAAAGGAATTCGAGGAATGATGAGTACTAAAAGCGAGCGAGGGAAAAGAGGATTGAAAAAATAATATGCACGAGAAAGAATTGGCAAGTAATGAGAAATTTACGTGCTAAGTTTAGGGTGCAAAAAGAGTGATTCGGGATGGGCGAAGAGCAGGTAATTCAATTCGGGATAAATAAATCGTCTGACTATTGCTTCTGCCTTACGTTATTGGGACGTTCTTAATTTCTTTAATCGTGAAGTATACTTCAATGCACTCTTAACTAAACTCTTTGGCTCTTAATACGATGAACGAGAAGATATCGGCCGTAATGGAAGTAATATAGCGATTGTATATTAATATGTATATGCTTGCTTTTTTAATGAAATAGCAGATTCAAACATTGATCGTGTAACATACAATTTTATGTATGCTATTGTTGCAAAACTATAGAGCTCATCGGATATTATGATTATATGTCACGTGTGTATCCGAAAAATTGGATGAGTGCACCGAATTATACTTTACTGTCGATTCGAGGTTTTTTCAATTTGTTACCTTTTTCATTTAGTGCATTAGGACAACTACTCGTTTCTAAGCATCCGATTAAGCTTTTTATTTGATTATGTTTTCTACAGCCTTGATTTGTTGAGTACGTTGTCTACTGCTATTGATTAAAGTAATAGGAAACGAAACTACATGCATGCCATAATTATAATGTCACACGCTTTATGGAAATACAACCGTTCAAGTCCTGCTAAGACACGAAAAACGTTGTCTTTATTAGCAAAAAAATGATATTGTTACTATCACTGCAAATGGAATTTGCATCCTGCAATTAAAGCGATGGAATAAATATATTAATTAAGACATTCAATGGGACATTAATTTTGTCCAGACGTCTTCCATAGTGTCGCAAAGAATAACTATTCTTTGATCTGTCATTAATGCAAAGCACGCAGTATAACAACGTATTGCGTAATGTTATTGGTTTACAGACAAGCAAAAAAGTTAATGCCCAATCTGTCTAGGAAATCTTTTTAGAAAATTAGTCACCAAATACTACAGTAAAAATTTTTTTATCTTATCGCCTTATCATTAACGAGACCTGTTAGTTTCAATATCTTGGATACATTAAAATTGGTCAAAACGTTAAATAATTATTCTGAATTAAATAAATTTAGTTGGGTCAACTGTAAATATAATGTTTATCTCAAGCTTTATTGTATTATTTTTAATAAAAGACCAAAATTTTACTAGCGTTTTAATTTAATATTAACGGGTTTATATTTACTACAATAATTTCGAAGAAACGTAAGCCAACATTCCTTTAGTCAAATCTCCAAGGCATTTTAAAAAATCGCCTACATTGCGACCAATAACGAATGACAACATAACGAATAATTTAATTGCGTTATAGTTAATATTAAAGTTAATGTGTCTTACAAAGAAAGGCCCGATTACAATGTTGTTGATTTCATACACAGGTTTGTTAGAGTGGCAATTATAACATCGACAACCAATTCACAGACGTAATGCACCGACAATTATTCCGCCGACAGGTTATTTCATCGACAATTATATCATCATTCACCAACATTATCTTGAAATTATTCTTTTTTGGTAGTTGACTGTCGATGAAACGACCTGTCGGCGGAACGATTGTCGAAACATTACGTCTGCGAAATGATTGTCGATGTGATACATCCGTGTCATTTTCTAGTACTTAGACCATTCAATCTGCAAGCGCAGACGTGAGTTATTGTCTGCGAAACACTGCATCAGAATTATATAACTTGCCAGTTTTTCCGAATTAAATTTCTAAGCTGTTAGAACTTTGTCATTTAACAGTGAGTGTTGAGACGTTTCAGAGACACTGTCGATCCGACTACAGCAGGAGAGCGTTTGGTAATGCCTTGAAATTTAGCCTTTCAATCGAAGTTGTGCTAATTCTACTTCTTACTTAAATTGTTAATATAGCAAGCGACATTATTTCTGGTTTTAAATATACCCACGATTCTCGATCGGGATAACGCAGATTTTCGATCACTATTACAATACAGTTCTTCTTCTATCTTAAATCGGTGGGATTGGTTCCGATAGTAATACAACGAAGGCCTATAATACACTAGAGTAAACGCGTATATTTGTAATAGTTATTAATCAATTACGAGAAAATCAATCTATTCAGCGTTCCCAAACTCGGCGCTGTTATATCGTTTATTACATGAATTGCTAAATTAATAATAATCTATATGTTGAAAAGCCGTTTACATTCAAGAACGGAATCTAAACTGAAAAATTTTTTATCGACATAATCTAGACTCATATCTTCTTAGTATGACGTAATAGTAAATAATACGGAAATTAAATATTAACATCTCCGATCCAACAAAATTAAAATCTTCATGTTTGATACTCGTGGGCACACCTATTTGGATACGGAGTAAAATAGTATATCGCATAGGAAATTGTTAATTACGCAAATATTATGTTTTTGCTCTATTTTCTTTCTTATTGAATTAGACAAAAACTCCTATTACCATCACTTATTATTATTGCTATTGCTCCTCCCAAATGTAAGGTAAATAATTTGGTTGAGTTTAGGCTGGGATGAAGAAGTTTTATTGTTACTTTTAAATAATTAAAGACTTGTTGTAATTCAGTTTTATTATTATTGTTATATTCACAATTACTAACTTATTACCACTTTCAAAAAAAAATTTTTTATCCCACATTGAATAAAAAACTGTTCTATTGTTCTAAATCAAAAAGAGAGAACTTTTGCTATTTTTCACTAAATCAATAAACATCTTTATCTTTAGATTCTTGCTTATTTTCTTAACTTTAGCCAATAATTTTATAATAATAACTTGCTTTTTGATTTTTTATTTAATAATCCAGATCTAATAATTGTAATCCAAGAATTGATCTTGATTAGTTAAGAGCTTCTTCCTTGAGTTTTTCACATTTGATATCTTTTGCTTTCAATTCGGTTAATACATTGCTTACATGCTCATAACAAGTTTTTGGCTTGCGCAATACTAAAAAATAGAACCATTGTCTAAGGGTGAAGAAATATGACTCTCGAAGAATTAGACGAAGATTTATATGGGTTGATACTGAACTAAGGAGTGAATTGACTAATTACCAAAAGTTCAAAATTTATTAGCCAACAAAGATAACCTCGATAATCATAGTTTAATGACTCGTATAGAATGTTGAACAAAAATTAAAGAGCGTAGAGCTAAAGCTTGAAATCACCTGTTACAATTATAGAAATTCACTGCATAGTAATCAATTTCCGTTATTTATTGTTATTATTCTAATTTATTTATACATCGCAAAATTTTATGCTTTTCCCAGAAAAAATGTAGCTAAGATGTTAAAAAACGAAATGTAAATAAGCCATCATCGGTGTGCAATGGAGTGCAGTACAGTAGTGTGCAATTCTCTTTATAATTTCGCTCTATAAATCATACTACGATCGTGTAGCGAAACTATCGATTTTGAATATTTAGTTTTTAAATTTATTGCGAAATATTATTCATTGATCATTCGGCTGAAGAGGAATTATTCTAAAGACGTCTTATTAAACGCATCGAAGCCATCATCCCTTGATTATGCTCCTTCTGATCTCTGGATTTTATCAGCTGTTGTACTGGCATAACTCGTATCTTTGTGCGTAATTGCTAACAGTATATCGGTTGAAGTGACGTGATAATCACTTGAGCAATCGAAGCGTTCTTATTTGATTAAATGAGTTAGCCAATCAGAGTAGTATGGTATGCAACTGCAATAGTGTAGTATACGGAAACCTCCTCCCAAGTACTAGTCCACGGACACGTGGAAATATCACAATATACTAACACTTTTATTCGCATAAATCGTCCCATCCGTTTCACTGCTATTCTCATACTCCGCGTTTATCAAAATTATTACAGATAAAAATATACTGCACATAACAGAAACCAAGTAAAATTTATCTTTTATTGTTTTATATTGCAGCCGGCTATTAGATCAGTATATTATTATTATTAATAATTAATAATGTTTAACTGTTAATCCTGTCACTGAAACATCATATCATTTATCATGTTGGTTTTTTACGTTTCCTTACATTCTTTGATTTTTCGTGTTTCGGCTCTCCTTACAACCATTACTAATAACTTTTCCGGAGGCAAATTTTTCTTTTTCTGCTCTCTCTTGAATCGAGAGACAGTAGAACGTAACAATTTCTGTATATAATAAATGATAAAGAGGCAGGGTGAGTGAAATAATTTGTATTCTAGAAGTTATATCAAATTAAGATTAAACTCCATACAACCTTGATTTGTAACATAACCCGCGCGATTTTAATAGTTTCTCCAAGTTCATCGTACTTTGTAGGAATATTAAATTTCGCCAACTCAAATGATAAATAGAAATCACGTCCCACGTAGACGATGAGAATAGCACGGATAGAAAAAGAATTTGATACAAATCCAGGCATATGAAGTTTTGTGCAAGCGCGCAAAACCTGTTTTGAAAGCTCTCTGACACAATCACCTTTACAAGGTTTTTGTGCATATCCCGGAGTGTTTTCTGGGTTTTGAGAGTATCCTTCGTATCGTCATCAATCTTTGATTCACACATAGAGAATTCCCGGCCCCACGGTGAATCTTTCCTAGTTCGTGTTTCTATAACTTCATTTAGTAAATAGATTCCAGATAACAAAAAGGTTTGAGTCTATCATACCGCGAACATCCAATCAATATGAAACCCTTCTACTTTATCCGGAGCATCTACTGCTTCACATCGTCGATCCCTAGATGCTCTTGAAACCATATCTCCACTTATTTGAGAAAAAAATAATTAGTACTATTAAACTGTGAAAACGACAACGAAACCTACAAGTGACAGTCCAGGATATCTTCAAAACATGCAAATATATGTCGTTTAACAAACATATCAATATCTCTCTCTGAGTTCTTTCGTTGTGGTATCCCCTTTTCTAACATCTCACACCTAATCAAGTTGTATAATTAAAGAGGAGCACAATAAAAGCCATGGATACAAGTGACCAATGAACTTACGTAAACCGTATCAATTCTAAAATATAACTGACATCCTTGTCTAGGTAATCGTTTTCCTCAATCGTAGTAATCATTGATGCCTCACCACATGATTAGTCATCATCGAAGAGACCAGATTCTGAATTTGACTCCTCATACTCAGTCTTCATTTCCATTCTCACGGGTTCTACAATTGCTCCGTGAATTCCCTTCGGTTTACTAATTCTCCAATTTTACGAAGTTCATTGCTATCCAACTAGGAATAAAAATGCAATTAGTAAACCATTGAAGGATCAAAATGGCTCATTGTCATAATTTACCTTACTAAGAAACTGAAGACACCTTTCAGCCACAGGTCTAAGCACAGTCCAATCGCCCATGGAATTTCCAATATTAAGAGCGGATGAAATCTTAACATTCAACTCTAAAAATTCCGTTTCAGAAAGGAAGTCTTGAGCAATCTTTGGATCTGATGCATCGATAATACGCCACCATATTGGGCTAAATAATAAAGTTGATTAGGATTTGGAAACCACACGGGATTAGCTATGCCCGTACTCTCGCGAATACAACACAAAAAACAAATCAACCAGCATTTATTAAGCACTTTAAGTACTTACTTTTTGCTAATTTGAATCTCTCAGATGGATCAGTTTGTGAAGTCAATAATTTATGTTGATTCATTGCTTTTTGCAACCAGCTTGGAATCGGTGTATCGAATTCCCAGTCTATCACATCAACGATTTCGAAATCATTTCTATTGGTCTCGCCGAAATCAACATATTCACTAAAAGTTACATTAACCGTTTTGGCCTGTGTCATATTGCAAAAGGTTGAAAATGTTTAAAAAAAGCATAACATCAATATAACCAATAAGACATGACTATTCCTAACTTCTGATGAAGACAACGTCTTGTTATCCGTTTTTTGTTTTTTCTTTGCTATCTTGAAATTATTCGGTTCCAAAAAGTGATAGTCATTTCAAGTCAAAGGACTGAGAATATTACCTCAGTCAGAATGCAACGTTTGTTCACGCATTGCTTCTGTGAGTTTTTCTTGGAAAATTATAATTTGATCGCTTGCATTCTTCAAAGTCTCATCATTGTGTTTCTTCTGCAGCACAAATAAAATCAGTGATAATTTATCACCATAACCACAAATGGAAGTACACTTACAACAATTCGATTCTGTTTCTGCTTTGCATTGTATTTTCTGTAGCTGTAGAGCTTGTAAGAACAAGTTTTCCGTAATGAGAACTCATCAGTAAGGAAAGTATACTTGAATACATACCGGGTTTGCATTGCCGGAATCAAAAAAGAACATAACGAACTTAAAAGAATAGAGAAAGAGCCGAGTTGTTAGTCAATCTTCTTACTACATGATTTAGAGTATCAGAAAAAAATAAATCTTCCTCTAGACGGTACCAGGGTTTCCATTCAACACACCTAAACGGCGTGGAAGCGTACCCTATATTCAGGTTTCAATTCAACATCCCAAAATGGCGTGGAAGCGTACCCTATACGCAGGGTTTCAATACAACACTCCAACATGGCATGGAAGCGTACCTTATGTATAAGTTTCAATTCAACAAAGTCGAAGCGTACTTATTTGTAAGGTTTCAATTCAACACACGTAAGTGTGGAAGCGTACCTTATGTATAAGTTTCAATTCAACAAAAGTCGAAGCGTCCTTGCAGGTTTCAATTCAACACATAAGCGTGGAAGCGTACCTATGAGTACCGAGGCGCTATTCAAGTGATGAGTATTAAAAACTTCCCTTTTTTGTGTAATACAACGTAGTTTTGAAAACCTATTTCTTGCACTCTTTAGTCTCGTGAAGATGAGGAAGAAGAACTGACGCGTCAAATTTCGCGCTCGTGACTTTCACATAATCTGATCATAACTACCCCAGCAGCCTCAGCGTCCTATCTCCTAACGCTAATTAGATTTAACTAGCTTAATTGGGAATCATCTGCAGATGATTTCCAAATAGAGATTTACACACTTTAATTTTAAAGCTTAAATATTAATAATATTAATATTAATATTAATATTAATAAAATGTTCACTTTGTCTGGTTTTGCTGCAGTCTAAGTCTGCTCCATATATCTTCACCTGACACTAAAAATTGTATGATATATCTTGGGCATTTGTGACACGGAACGTCTGTGACACTGTGCTAAAATTAACTTGAGAAGATGTGACTCGCTTATGTGATTTCATCGGTTCGCTTGTAAGTTTCACGACATCTACTAGATTGCATTGACTGTGATACTTTTTTTAGAATTTGCTATGACGAATCTGTTATGCATGTTGATAATCAGGAAGTAACATCAGAATCGGCATGATACGGAAAGCAACGCTTAGTCCTACGTTTCTCCTTTAAACTCCGGTAATACAGAAGGGAATTAAAAGCAAAAAGAATATCTTTATTGCAAAAAGGTCTTGATGTGGTTACTATTATACAAAAAATTAGATAAGTGATGTAAGTACATTGAGGGTATATTAGGATAATCTATGTATTTATAATCCCTCATTAGCCTTCTTTGATACATTAATAAAGTCTTTTGGCATCACTAATATGATATCATCAATTTACAGTGGGCTGTAATGAAAGATTCCAGTTAATTCTATCGAATCTTTGACTATACACAAAAATCTCACACATTCCCACTTACTTTGTAATCATTTTACTCCAGACGCGTAGGCGAAATTCCAAGTACTTTATGTGAAAGCTCGACTGAGAACAACCCATAGCCGAATATATCCGGAGCTGCTGACGGAAGCCTGAATTTGGACTAAGTTTGATAATTTTAAAGTAAATATATAATACCGTTGTGTACATTTCTCTTTATTCATCATACATACGCAATAATGGATCTTCTCTCCGAAACATAGTCCCAAGCATCATCAAGAACCATATTTTTGGTCTTCATTAGATATGCTATAATTACTGTTTGAACGGTGATATATTAGCACATTATTCAATCGCAAATTTTCTATTAACCTTTTCATAAACAAATAACCATCATTATTACGTACCAGACGCACTTCTTGAAACACCAGCTTGGCAGTGTACGAGCACTCTACCGTTTTTTCTTATAGCGTTTGAAATAAACTTTGCGCTCGAGTCAAAATGTGCAAGGATGTTTTCGTATGGATGATCGCGCACTGTTATAATTTTGTATGTGAAGTTCTATCGAGAGAAGCAGTTGCATCATCCAGAATAGGTTAGATTGATTTGATTTGATCGATGCTAGATAAGCGATGACAAAAAGAACTTACATCAGGGAAGGCAGGTGACAGTCCAGTAGCAACGGTGAGAATGTGCGTTATTTGGTTTTGATCTAGCCAATCTCTGTCTTTTGCTGAAGCATAACTGATACGTGAGATAAAAAGTTTTATACGATTAATTAGAGACATGTACCCTTTGCGAAGCCAATATCATACGTAAATTTGTTCTATACGGCATATTCTAATTACAACCTAGCATCTTTGATATACTACTTCCCCCAAACCAACTTCTCTAACAAATTCAACCCACCTTCCCAAAAATACTCCCGGAATAATTTCGTCTCCAAATAATATCTGTTCCGCAGGCGTTTTATTGTATGTCTCGGCGCTTTCGTTTTGGTATGCGAGTGATTTTTCAGCATCGACCAAGATCATGGCTGATAAGTTGGTTTTGCGAAAGAAAGATGGTGTGCTGTTGTTATGTCCTTTAATAGCTGAGTATATAAAATATGGCTGTGATGATGCAGATTCGCGTATAGATAATTCGCGAATGTATTTACTACTATTTCGATAACAATCCTCGTTATAGCATAATCAATACTACGATATGACGTTGAAGGTATATATCGGATTACAGCAGTTGTATTGTAATTATAACGAGTGGTGAATTAGTCTTGTAGGACTGTTATTTATGGGTAGCCCACCGTTATTGCCTTCCCACGTCGACCGAAGCTTAGTAATGAATTAGAAATGCGTTATAATCGATTAGATATGTGGACCCGTTAGTCATGGAGACTTTATATACGGAAAGCGTTGTACAAACTTTAAACCACTCGTATTGTTTGTGCAATTGTGCATCATGTGGAATGTGCATAGTGTAACCCTTGGAACGCTGGAATACCACAATTTAAGCCTTACCCGATTAAAAATTCAATGCGGAAGTGAATTATCCGGTACTCTTATTTATATAAAGCTCGCAAGAACCCATCATTATTCCAAAGTAGAACTACAAGAAGTAGTCTATTTTTTGGTTACTGATACAAAAGATTACTAAATTTCAACGTTGCACACAAAGCGGTCAACTGCCAAAGTTGGGATTAGCCGAATTTCCCTTCCCGTTCGCACAAATAATCTGTATTACGTACCTCAATTATCACAAGACTTTAGACGACGGAAGGATATCGACAAAACAAGAAATACAACAAAAGCATCTAAATCAAGAAAATTGAATCTGCATATTACGAGCAAATGTTACGGAATTAGACGCCGCAATGAGCAAATATTCGGAACAAAGACGGCCGAAAAAAGCACAATTATTTATACATCATAGAGGCCTTAGCCCAAGTTTTTAACAATCGGGCTGTGTATATAGTAATAGTAAAACCAGACAAAGTGGGCATGTGATATCACGTTATTTACGTTTGAAATATTACTCAATCGTTTATGGTTGCCAACAAGTACTCCTGTACTTATTGTTCTTTAGACAACTAAGGTCGTTCTTTTGTTTGTTAATGTTATCTCACATGTTAGTATTAGTATATTCAACCCTTTTCAATTTTGCGAAATTTCTCCTGCCACGAGGTTGCTTATGTAAATGGCCAGTACGGCATGATACTCCATATGGGTATTCTTAATTATTTCAAGTCTTCTGTCAGTATCAGGAGATAACTGCTGTTTTCATTATTATTATGCAGCTGGGATAGTCATCCTACATAAATATTGGAATAATGTGTGTTCTTATCAGTAACCTCTCCTATCAGGTTTGGTACCGTTTTTAAATTACTAAATTTGGTAGTTAGTAAAAATAGCAGCTGGCTAAAGACAATCCAATTATCAAGCTAATAATGGCCAATTATGGTACCTCCTCTAGCGCTTGGGGGAAGTAACCCTCATCTATTGCTAGATTTAGCAAATACCTACTACTAAACATGGTAGGGGAGATTAACACACAATAATATTACCTTCATTCGGTTATTCTTGTTCTTGTTTAATTGTAGTGTTCTTTAATTCATTTGCTTCTTTGCTAGAATTTGGCACGCTAATCCTCTGGATGGAACGTACTCAGTAGCATTGAAAGTGATATGCCTTAAACGCCTACGGTCATAGTAAATTCTTTGTCTTTACAATAAAAGAATGCTCCTACCTTGACTACATGATCAATACAATTACCACTTAAATGAAAAACGATTAAATAAAGGCATTCTTTTACTAAACATAGTCTTACAAACGATGATCGAATAATTGTAATAAGGACAGTAGTATGGGCCAAGTTCCACCGGTTCGCGACCACGTTTCTGTTGCTGACAAAATTGGTATATCATTTTTGCCATAAAGTATATCTACATACTATAATCAATAATTTCGGTAAAACATCTTCGTCTCTGTACGAAACGAAGGCGAAGTGAATTAATGGTGTAGCTATCAGAACCTTGTTTGTCGGAGTTCTTATTCTGATAGTAAAATACTTCCAGGGGTAAAGATACTTCCAGTTTGTCGGTATAAGTACATAGCGAAGAGTACGTTTTCGCCCTGAAGATCAGGGCTTAATGCATTATTGAGCGTCCAGGTGTGAAACGAGGCATATTCATAAGATTTGATGTTGATCACCGCTTGGTTTGGTTCATTCCGATGGAATGACTTCATACAACATGTGCTAGATCTAATACAGAATAGAGGCGCGAAACTACATGATGGTTTATCCATTCCGGGATTTTCCCTTGATTGATGGATCTCATCACCAGATTTGCGTAACAAAAATACTGTCATGACCTTCTTCAGTCATCAGAATGGACGTTTTTTCGTTCGATCATAAAAATGCGACGCCCTGCAGTCATTTAACGGTCGTTAAGATCATGTTCAGAATGTTTATTCATATTTAGATTTTGTGAAGGTCACAAGACGTATTCCCGTTTCCTCAAGCTCCATCCCACAGATGCTCGGAACGGGACTCTGTAATGACAAGGTTTCTCGTCAGCCGTAAAATCAATACCGTCAGATGGCTTGTTGGCAGAAATGTTGTCATGCAAATCTCCGATCACACAGCTCCTTTTCCTTGACGTTTAATGGCCACAAATACGCGATCACGATTTCCTGGGTATTGAAACGAAGCAGGAATATTTCAGGACGTAGGCAGCTTTTGGATTATAGAGTATGTCCCGTATACGGTTTTCCAACATTGAAGGTACAATTCAATAATAGGCTTTGCAAGGAAACCAGTAATACTGCATACTTTTAGGTAAAGCGTATGGTTGAGAATAGAGAAAATTTTTTATATTACCAAGATATAGAGTCTACGGTATTAAATATTGATATTGACCATGTGATTGCACAGTCGTTATTAGACTCTTCTTCATAAAATAAATACTAAAATGCAGATAAACGAAAGTAGTCATTAACATTAATGTTTTACGCCATCCGACATCAATAAATGTCCGTGGGAAACAAAAAGCTATCTTCAACAAATCCCGTTTTAGTCCTCAGTGTTACTTTCATACCATAAACTTTCCTATCCTTTTTACTAAACAAAGCAAAAAACTTAATTGCATACGTTCCAGAACTATCTTCCCAATTCCAATCCTTTAGTTCGAATTGTTCATTCCCTCCTCCCTCTCTACTAGCCAACCACGCCCATTTCTTCAAAATATCTGCATCGATGAACGGTTTCCTGGAAGCCTCCTTGATCCAAATTTCGAGAACATTTTGATTAGTCCACCCAGGTTTATGCTCAATTGGGATATACATCCTTTCTTCGGATTCCACATCATCACATTGGATCCAATAAAAGAGCTTGACTTTTCTGTCGGCTTCATAGGACTTTTGTGTGGGAAATGAAGCCGTGTTGAAGGCCTGTACTACGATACTGGATTTCTTCCCTTCTTGATCCCTTACAGTATATCGAATCGAACAAGGGTTCGGTAATGAACTGTGAACCCTCCTCGGCCCACCTGTCAGCGACTTGTACTTTGTGTAATCCAAGCCATATTTCGCTTTAATGGCCAATTTGGTCACACTTTGTGCTTCTAGTCGAATAATAGCATCCGCTTCATTGTTGGTCTCGTAATAAAACTCGGACTTTTTACTTCCAGAATAAGTTAGTGCCTGTTGCCATTCCCCGGATTTACTGAGAATTTCTGATTCAATCTGAACAATCGACAAGGGCGATTGGGAATTATTAGTAATACGGAAATCTGTTGTTAATATTTGCCAGGCGCCAGAGTAGTTCCATGATTGTTCTGCGAAAACTTTGCCTATTTGTTGCAAGTGTATTGGCGATTCGTCTGTTGACTCGATCATTTCTTTGGTCGGATCCACAGGTATAGGATATCCATCTTCCTTTAATACTGGACCCTTTCTGACCTTCTTCGGTAACTTATAATGCGTATCAACCGGGGGTAAAATTGCTTCTTGTATTACCGTGCTCTTGTTCACTTCAAACTTGCCATCCGGGCCAATTCCAAATTCGATAACTTCCACCTGAGGTTGGGGGTCGGACATGGACTTTATAATCAATTCGATAGCGCGACGGCCGGTCGAAGAGGTTATAAAGTGTGCGGAAGCGTGCCATTGATCTTCGTTTATGTTGCCTTTGATGGAGTCTATTAGTTCTTTGGACGTGGATGAAAGTGATTTTATGGTTTCTTCGTCAAAGACATGGAACTTGTTGGTTTTTGTTGCGCCATAGAGACCTGTAAGGGTTTTAGACAAATCGCACAAGAATTGACAAAGTCTTTGGTCAACAGGTAGAGCACAATGTTGATAATTGATATTAAACAACACACCTTCGCCAAATTCAATGTATATCTGATTCGTTTTGGGGGCGTGTCCCACTTGAATCCATCTACGTAGATAACAGAGTAAGTAAACCTCATGGACATCATCATCATTATATGATGATTGACGTTAGAGAAAACGAGGAAGTCGTATGACTGATTGTAATATATCACGTGAGGTGAATTGGTAGATTCTGCTCCGACGTTCTATCATGCTCAAACCTCATGGTTTGTTTCATTTCAGCTTCTCTAAACATCCCACCAACCATAAATCAAGACTCCCACGTCCCCATTCACATACTTGGGCTTATCATCAACAAAGTCTGATCTCGTGACCTGAAGCCTGTTAGATGATATGACAAATTTGAAATTGAAGCAAAAGGTGTTAGACCTCCTCCCCAATTACATAGTTTCAATCGATCCTCAAGTCACTTTTCCACTCACCAATTTTCCAAGCTACTCTCTTCCTTAAACGTTACAAACCATGTTTTATAATCCACCGGAATAATTGTCTCCCCATCTCCAATTACATCCGTTGCAGGATCGTTTTTATCTAACAAAAACCCGTCAGATGTCCTCAATTCGATGAAATAATTATCATCATCTAAATCCTTTGCATATTTGCGGAATCTAGCAGAGATGTCTTGTAGAACTTTATTAATTGTAGGAGCAGGGGAAGAGGATTGGATAGGAACTACGAGTTTTGTATCGTTCCAAACTACTTTGACGCGAGGCATTGGGTGGGAAGGGACAAGACTTCTTTGAAACCGTTAAAATGACCCAATTTTTTACTTGACAGATACAGTTTCGAATTGGTCCCAAGGCACATTCGCTTCTCTTATGCTCGTATTAATTCCCTCTCTCTTTTGAGTTTAATATCCCTCCGTCGCTGATTGCCACGATAGGGTACGAAATCTATTTACGCTAGGGATTCATATATATATATGGGGGGTTTACAAAAATAGATCTTCACACAAACATCTGATCGGATGAACAGATAAAGGATATAATAGGAAATGCGTAATCAATATTGGGGAACAACTTTTATCGGGGAGAATGGCGGATTATAAGGGAGAGATTGGATAGGTTAACAATTAAACCATAGATTAATGTTGTCAGCGTCTTATATCGTATGCGCTGTTGATAATCCCAATTGACTGATAATTATTATCGCCAATCTTGCGAAAATATTACTACTTATTTGATTAAGTTTATAGTTTTAAGTTACCTGCAACTATCATAATTATGTTTAAACGCCGTCGTCATTACGGAAAAGTAGCAAACAAGTATAAAAATAAAGCATGATACAAAGACCGCAATACGATGTACGATACATAATTGTCCCTAACATCATACAAAAATTTCTACAACGCTTATTGGTAGCAAGTTGCACAACGAAATTTAATCATGCTAATCTAACGCTAATAAAGTCATAGTATGTGTGTGCATACATTGATATGCATATGATGCAATTTATGCTTTATTCACACGAGTATGTTTCTCGGATCAGACCGGATCATTAATTAGGCCTATCTCATATGGAATTCGAAACCCCGACATAATTACCCCATGGATCTTCATTGGGAACTAGTAAACCCTGATAGATTACAGTGACTCGTGCACAATTACTCGATTTTGGTAGTTGTGATGCAGAATTTCATCACATGAACGTTTTTGGCGCGATAGAATTGGCGTTGCTGATATGCTACCGAATAGAATTAAACGAGAGTTGATTAGATGACTGCATACTTTCAGATAAAGTGAATGAAATAGTCTATATGTGTTAATCATGCAACTAAATATAGTTGTCTTCCTTTATAGTCATATCATCGCATCGGTTCGCTGAACCATTGATATAAAGGAGCGTAATTATAAAATTAAGACTATATGGAAGTGTGCTTTGATTACAGAATTTCGAAAAAAAGTGCCGTTTTAATTTGTTGATGCTTCAATCGAAATTTAATATTTGGTACAATAGTATTGGGTGCATATACTGCATAGCTGGGACGCGAATTAGCTAACTACAATAATACAAGATTGATTATCATGTGATATGGCGCTAAGAAGTTAGCTTGTACTGCTTAGTCGTCCATAAACAATATTCTAAGAATACATTTCAAAAGATTTCGTATGCATTATCGGTATGTTGTTATTGTAATTGTATTTTTAGCATCGGGCTCATAACATCACGCCATAAGATCAGACCATAAAATCAGGCCATCGTCGAATGTGGCACAAAATCGGATATTTATTATAGCGTTCTATCCATACCATGAGCATGATGGATAGAATAAACAATATATTATACAAGCATTCTTAATTTAATATGAAGACACGAATAAGCAAACAAAGTTGGTACGTAGTCTCAGAGATACATCCACGCGGTATATATTCAGCACGTGCAATGAATTTTGGTTATGTCTAAATGCACGCACGTAATTATTATCTTACAGCTCTTTTTTCCTAAAATCAACAGTCACCAACTTAGTGGGTTCATATATAGTTTATGAAATGTGCTAAACAGGCGTATACGTCTTTCAGTAATAATGATGTTAACGGTGTTATAATATAAAAAAAAATTTACAATAAACATATTTATTAAACAAAACTTATTTATATCAATTGCTAATGCCTGTACGCGAAAGTTTTTCGTTATAAAAATGTAGAATTTAGCTAACAATGTATTTTTTTACTTATTCTTCCTACCTTTATCTAGTATGACATTTATAAATGTCTTTGTATGCGTCTGATTGCTTCGTTCTGTAACAGTTCTAATTTCTCATTCGCATCGTAAGTAAAAGTACACGCGGCATGATAAGTTTGATTGTAACTCATTAAATTGTTGTTATTGTCATTCCAACTTCGTCTGAAGTAACAGATAGTTTTGGCATAACCGTAATGTTAAAATTGATACATCGAAATTGTGAAACTCGTTTAGTACAACGTACATATATATTATTTAAAGCAATTTAACGGAAACAGAAGCAACTCCATTTAATAAGTTCCCACATGGTTTTGGTTTAGCTAACAATTTTTTCATCGTTCTTCCCGCACTTTATTGTACTGACATTCGATCTGTTACGCTTGGATTACGAATAATTCTTTAATCATCAATCTTACGTAATTGCCCACATTGTCATATCACCGCCGTTTTCAAACAGCTTTTGGTTAGAATTCTTGATTGTGTTTCGAAAAAAAAGAGGCAAAAAACTATTGATCTGTGTCACAGCGGTTTGAGTTAATGAATAAGTTTTATATTATTTTAATAACTTATAAGCAGATTGTTATTGCCATAAATCTATTAAAGTATTTTACCAAATACTTTTCATAATTAAATTAAGTTTTATTTATTGATTTTACCAAACTGACTTAAAAATAAAGTTTAAATTTCCATAATGTTTGAGTGTACTTTTCTACATTTTTGCAAATGTCGTAAGTTTTTTAAGTTGGAATATTCACATGCTACTAATAATTTTGCACTATGTAATCGAGATTTGTAATCGAAATTTGAAAGCAAAGCTAGGGTTAATCAAGATAAAATTTTTACTTAAAATCAACAATGGTTGTTACATTAAAATATATAAAAAACGCAAATTCAAAACAAACCAACTTATATTACATAAATGTACGCTCTCGAAGAGGCTTTTTGTGTCACAGTATAAAAAGAAGGTAAATTACCTATGTATTATGATACCCATTTTTTAGTTAACTAATGTTTAACTTATTGGGATAGGCTCCTTTCTAATACACATTAACATGGTTACTATATGGTTAATTTATAAATAAGAAAAATATGCACATGAAACTAATTTACATTAAACCCTGTTGTGTCTGAGTTCGGGACCTCTCTAAGTTCAGAACCCAGTCACTCATACTCAGTCCAAACTCAGTTGTGAACCCAGACTTTTGGTCCAGCACTCAGTTGTCTCAGTCCAGAACTGAGCCAACTGAGGTACAACCAAACTATTCAATCGGAAGGGCGTTTGCCACAAGTACACAACAGCGCAGTGGCACCACAGTTGGCTGATAAGTAAACCATCATCACTGATTCTAGATAGTTCAAAATTTATCGTTCAATACAGAGAAAAAAAGTCTGGCTAAACGAGTAATTAAAATTAAATATGTTATTCTTGGAAGAAAGACGATAATATTTATATTCTTCCATCAGATAGATACCTACATGAGTTTTGAGATACGCAAATTAATCTCTATATACAGTCAACTCTCTCTAAATGCACACTCTCCCTATTCTGCACGTGCAGCTGATTTCATAATCCCAAGGCCTCATTTCAATATGAAAATATTCTCCGTAAGTGCACACACGTGACTCTTGTGCATTAGTAGCGTAGTGATAGAATACTTGTTTCTAAACAAGTTGCCTCAATTCAACTCCTGGCTGATGCATGTAGTTAAGTTGCCAAACGTGGAGTGATTTTACCAAACCCGCATTGTGCCGATCGTTTACATCAGGCCATCCGATATTTCATTAGTACCTGATCAATGAACTTGTAGAAATGTTTAGAATAGGAGAAAGTAGCAGTAATTTGGAAAACATGGATGATAGCACTGAAACAGCTGTTATCAGTGATAGTGTTGCGTTAAAAGCTTGGAGATCGTACAAGCATTTTTGATTCAACAAGAAAATACAAGTAAAAATGACGAATATTCTTGAAAGATATATTAGGGAAAAATCTAATATGGTGCGACAGACAAGCATAGATCAGTATTTTATGCAATGATTATTATTATGTGAAAAGCCAATAAATTACAATAAAAATATATATTCCGTTATCACGTAATTTACTAATACAAACTCCACACTCATTGTTATCCCTAAATGCACGCTCTCATCTTTTCATTCCCAAGGGCGTGCATTTAGGGAGAGTTGACTGTACAATAAGCTTTCCGACGGAAAAGAAAGATTCGAATTAGTTTAGCAATTGACATTTGGCGTTACATAATGATAAGCGTATTCTTCTGACGTGTATACCTCCCGTGTGCTATACCTGTAGTATACAGTAATCCGAACGTCTATTTTGATTTATTCCCGGGAATTACTTAAGGTATTCCTCTAGTATATATATACATATATCTATCTATCTATCTACGTTCTGGTTTATTGGTTATCTGATTGCTGATCAGAATACCATTTTTTGGACTTTGACCAGCATAAGTTATGAGACTGTTCTAAAATTTACTAGTAATTATAAAAACTTTTTTTTAAAAAAATAACATTAAATTTTAACACATTATTATTATAAGCTGTAGTTGTATAGTTATTATATTATTATATAGTGTGACGTAAAAAGAATACTTTTATACATAACCCAGATGCTGAGCACTTTCTGACGCAAACTGTTGCCTGAGAGACGAATAATGATAATTATTTTTTAGAAAAAAGTTTCCATATAATTTACTAATACTTTAGAACGAAGCCAAAGTTATTGGGTTTTTGCATATTCTTTACATGGCATAGCCATCATCTATGACTATTCCTGCCCATCCCCATTCTCTTGTGCCATGCCACAGCCTCGTTGATTCTTTTACTCCTATTTCAAAATATTATATTATGCAGTAGTATATTATAATTGACAAAGCATCCAATGGGATTTTTAACTCTCATATTTATTATTATTATTATGCAGATTCTTATCGATCAGCTGTAGACTATGTGACACAAAAAAGTCAGCGTACATTATTTTGCGCTTCCACAAAATCATTTTATGTCAAGTTTTCTATTTGAATCAGCACAGTTTCCGAGCAAAAGTGCTTTAATTAATGTAACGTTAGCCAATATCAGGAAAAACAACAAATATAAAATGGGGTTGTATAGTACTGCATATTCTTTTGTTCGCTGGGCAATCTGTTACACACAATGTAGTGATAGCGAAAATCAAAAATTGATGTGCAGAATGAGCGTTGCACCAAGTTTATAATATCATGTGTTTGAACTCGCTTATAAAAGCTCACACTGTTAAATAAACAGATTTGCGTTACGAATTGTTCTTGTTAATCAAAGTGTAAATATGCGGAAAAAAACCTTGATTACTGGTCCATACTTTGTAATTGTGTTATCATTGATGGTTTTGATAAATTCGGCCCAAGCGTTGGGGTTGGCGCATTTACTAAAAAAAGCAGTTTATTCTGACAGCTTTCTTAATAATGTAAACACTGATGTGGCTCTTAATACGGGATTCGAAAAACCGTTGTGTGGATCATTAGACTTTTCAAGCGCTAGTCTCACTCTTTCTCCCGTTCCAGCTGTACCAGACATACATAAAAATAAATTAACTGCCACTCTTGAAATGAAGACTGTAACTCTGACGCAACCTAAAGGTAATTGGAGCTTGTAAGTACATGACTTAACGCATGAGTACTAAAATAAAATAATTATTCGTAATTTGTTCCAGTACAAATAGGTTATGAGGTCAATGTTCAACCCGATAACTATATCAAAACTATAATTTGCGATACGCCTAGCATTCTTAATTTCGACGATTCTTGCACAGTCGTGGGAAATCGATTGCAAATCGATACATACATAAAGAACCACGTTGGTGAGAATTTATGCATTGAACGTAAATTTGTATATAAATCTTATCGTTGACAATACAAATTTCTTTTATTAGCCCTCTTTGACGCCTTTTCCTCCAATGGAAACAAGCTTATTATGAAAATTCTCATAAACGATCAAGGTTGTGCCAAGCTTCGTGTTAATTACGACGGAGACCCCACTATTGCCACTCCCAATGGCGACGTTCCGACCAGCACTTCGACAGGCACTTCGACAAACACTTTCGCGGACGACTTTGGTAGCAACGATACCTCGTTAACAAAAAAGCTCACATATTTGTACAACATTCCATTAGCAATTGGAGCCGTTGCTGTATTGACCACTACTTTGTTAGAAAAAAATAATATTCGACCAGGGAACTATCACCCGTCTTCACGTGTTCTCATTCCACCTCCGCTAGCAGCACAAAGCCCTTCGATATATGACATTCTTCGTGCCGTTCAGTTTTTTGTAACAGCTGCTTTGCTTTCTGTACCTTGTCTCGAAAATAATCAAGGCTCTAACTTTATTTATCGGAATGTTGCATCGAAACTTGAATGGACGTGCGGAATATTACCGTCTAGTATTAAGGCTCAATTCATATCCACTGCTGCCGATGACAAGATACGAGGAGGAATATGTCGGATGACTCAAAGCTGTGTAAAACAAGTCAGTGATCAATGCAAAATAATGGGATATCCCGCATTGAATAATTCAAATCCACCTTCTTCTGCATACACGGATTTTGGAAGGGCAGCACATATTTCAGCCTATAATTTATTTTTTATGGTATTGATTATATTCTGCGTTGTAATGGCAGTCGCGTTTGCTGTCGCGTTATTTTCTGGTGTGCTGGCATGGTTGCTTAAGTGCTTGTGGGGAAAATGGTCAATACTGAAAACTGTTGCGCACAATACTCATTTTTTAATACTCGGTAAGTGGCTTTGATACACCGCTTAATTATGTCTCAAAATTTAACTTTGCTTCTCCCAATGTTACTAATTCCAGGTGGAATGTTTCGACTGGTAAATATCGGATGTTGTGTATGTTTTAGACCTTTTCAAATCTATCTTGAACATAACCCGCAAAATTTTTTTTTTAATTCATGTCCAGATGCTATTGCTTTATTACCCTCTAACTCTTTTTGCTGCTTATCAAATATCACTTTACCGAGATTGTTGGCTTATGCTGTTAGTTGCCGCACTTTGTATTGCATTAATTTCTATTGGAATTGCAGCTCTTTGCATCCGAAAAATTATTAAAGACATACATAATCGCAAAGCGCGCGAGACACAAGTTCACACTTATATTTTAAGTGCGCTCTACTCGCAATATCGTAATAACTCTGAATCGCGGCAAAGTCTTATTTGGTTTTCCGCAATTACTTTGAGTTATGACTGTCTTAGAGCTTTGGCTATCGGAACGGCTCAGAATGATGGTCCTGTACAATCGGTTTGCTTGCTTATAACAGAAGTAATTTATTGCCTTTGTTTAATATATTTTAAACCGTATATGACAAATCTAATGAACTATTTGAATATCATTATTTCATTCTTGAAGTTTTCGGTTATTGTACTATTATTTCCATACTCAGATAATTGCCCGAGTAGCGTTTTTAATACCGTCGCGCTTGGGTTGCAAGGTCTTATTGTTGGACTATTATTTACAGTAATGTTTACAAAGTCAGCCATGGCTGTTAAAAAATACATTAATAAAGTTAGATAACACTTAGTATTCAACAACATTGTGCGAGACACTAATATTTAGAGTGATGTAAGCGTAAGGCTGTTGTATATTTAGCGATAAAGCGCATGAAGAAAACAAAAAATTTATATTAGATGCGATACAATCAAACACTAGCTTTTGTTGAATAACTTTGTAAGTGCATACATTATTATCATTAATTCTTTGATAGCGCGTCTGGATGTATTCTTTTGCATGTATCAATATTGTATTATTTGGAATAAGTTAACATAATTTATTGCTGTGGTTAGAAGATATCCTTTTGTTATGTTGAGATTAAACTTTACTGAATTGTTCCTTTGCAAAGTTTGGTAAATTTTGCATCAATTACTTTGATGTGGTGTGTATTGTTGGTAACACTCCATTAAATAATTGTGACGTTACCATCTGTAAAGTACGCAATGGTTATTTTTGTTACAAATAAGTGTAGTTAATTCTGATGTATTGTGATCAGTTAAGATTTCGTCACAGTTATAATTTATTATATATTCTTCTTCTTTATGAAATCATCAGTAACTTTGGCTCGTTTTTCGTTGCCATTCGATATGTGTGATTAAGCCACAATAACGACTGTCTCAGTTTAACATCTAATTTAATGTGAATGACGCTTTTATTAACAAAAGCAGCAAGCTAAAGCGCAAATTTTAGCATTTTTACTTGTATATTATGCCTTCATAAATTATACATTTATTTGTGTTTACCTATAAAAAGTACACAAAAATTAAGGCTGTATTTACCAGCGTATTGTAACAATGGAACTATATGCTTCAAGTTATGCGTATAATAATACTGTAATTTCCAAAAATTTGCAACACACCGTAAGACAAGACAGTTTAAACATGATAACCCATAACCTACGTTTGCTATTTTAGCTATAAAAAATGAAGCACTTATAATTAATCGTTACTATGCTAATACCAAACAACTTTAAGTATCCTCTCCAAATATAAACAAGCCCAGAAAAGAAGAGGGTATGTATTGCTAAATTTGAAATTAATAGTGCGGTTTGTACTAAATTTAGGCTGTACTTGCTGTACATCACAAATAGCGAATTTTTATAAAAATGTCATATTTGGACAAAACATGGTAAAATTTATCTAATAAAGCCCGACCTTATTTTTCGTAATCACCATGCTATGTTGTATTAACGCTTAAATGCTTTTTTGTAATGCGGTTGCCCAATTTTATTGATGCTTTTAGTATTTTTATCGTTATTATTAAATAAATTTAATCTTACAGTTTACGACTACATTAATGTGGAAACCTCATCCAATTAAAGGTTTTTAAATATCCGATTCCTCGTTAATAAAAACGTTTTAGTATGTAATTTTGTCTTCAATAAATAATTGTAATATAAATTTGAGACTTTGTAACGGCAACAATAAATAACATTTTATGTTATTTATTAAAGGTTTCTATTTCCTGCATTTTATTATGTTAAGATTCAACAATTTAACTCGTTATAAATGTACCGTAAATTGCTGACTAGTATACCCCCCATGATTTATATCCTGTATTGATTTTTGAGTCCGATTTTTGATTTATACCCGAGTATTGTACATAGTATAGTTCAAAGAATTATACCCCCATACAATGGGGAATACCCGGGTACAACAACAAAATTTTATTTATCTAATATTTCTAATTATTCTTCGCTTGCCCAATCATTTTCATAACCTTCTACTTCATTATATGTCTCTCCATCAATAGAATCAACTACCAAAACTTTTTCACTATTTTCTTCTACTAAACCCTCATAATCAAAAACTAATTCATCTTCTGTTTTGTCCATGTTTACCGAAATGCCACAACATTTGAATGCTTTTCTAATTAAGTTAGAATCAACATTATCCCTTAGCAATTTCTTTGGGGAGTACAACTCACGGAATGTACCCCCCACCAATACAAAATATTCCCCCTACTTAAGTACTTCGGGTACTAAGATGGACATTGGAAATACCCGGATACATCGGTCAGCAGTTTACGGTACCTTTTGTTGGCCAACTATTGAAGTTGAATACAAATAAAGCCGTATCAGTTGGGCAATCTGCAAGCTATCTGTTCACTATTACCAAGCAATTTACGATAACCACATCTTTTGTTTATGGATTTTTACAGCCTCTACATAGTCAGTTGTGCAATTTTGTTTTTGAGTAATAAAAAGGTTGTTTTTTTCTGCTAATAACCAGTATCGAGTTTATTTTTCTTGGTAATGGTTATTCTTTCATTAGCGCGGTAGTAGTAAAAAGTTTTACCAGTAGCGTAGTAGTTCACTGGAAAGATAAACTAATTTACTAGTAGTAAGACAACTGAGTCCTGGACTGAGTGTCTGTTCAGAACTGAGACACAACATTCATGTCAATACAATCTTCTAAATAAAGCAAAATTAATATTATAAGTGTTAAGATGTTTGAATAACAACGTTTATAACAAAACCGTTATATAAATAACATTATTGTTACTAATTATAATTATTAGTGACAACGGATTAGCATTCTATGTAAACTTTGGAGATTTATATTATAATGGCATTATATTTGAAAGTAACATGTTATTCTTGGCAATCAACACAAGGGTTAATGTTATTGTTACAAAACGCCATAACTCACAATATGCAAACTCATGTTTATAGAAAAGGTTTAGGGACCACAGCATATTAATATATGTTTATTAACCCCAATTTTAGGTCGATCTTAACTATAACTATGCTAATATTATGAATGCTTGGTCGATCTATAACCGTGAATAGCTAGATAATAACCGTCCAGACGATCCCAGGAAAGAAGTTAATATTAAGCGTTACACCCGAATCACGCTGAGATGCGGTGATGTAAGCTGTTTAGCTCATTAGCAAATCCGCACGCTAATATTATTGGAGTTTTGGCTTTCATTATCCATTCAACTGTTAAGTTATGCGTCATCTTATATAATTGTATATCTGCAAAACTTACAAGGTGGGACGTTTGTCGATCACTATCGCATTTCTATAGTTTATTAGTAAAACGTCTGTGAAATATGTATAAAGTTGGTTAGCATATAGCGAATAAGGTTTCTCTGGTTATGCAAGATTTTAATGACTATAACGATAAGGAGTCTGTGAGGTCTTCGTATAACATAAATAACCAGATTTGTACATGCTCGCGGAATTCGTCTCCGATATTCACCTTCCGATAAAAATATCCCCATTGTTTTACTATACTCACACTTGTTTATTGTAATTAATGTCTATGCATGTTAACCATTGCTCTAACTTAGAGATTATCACCAATTAGCTCTTGAATTCATAGTTTATTACGACACTTTCATAAGGTATGTACCATAAGAAAGCGACATAATTATACTATAGCGTCGGCGATTTCAGTATACGGATGCGATACATTCCAGCTCTCGTTTCTTGAAACTATTCCCTTGGAGATTAGTGAGGGCTATTATTATACAGCGTTTTCAATATTACTACAGTTATGGGCAGGCTGAGGTATAATGTACGTTACAAGTACAGTATATGACATTTGTAGAGTATTGAGTCAAGCGATCATTACTTATTTACGATGCTTGTAATTTTGCGTTAGTAAAGAAACAACTGTCGGGGAAATAAACGGAGAAACAGACGGGGAAACAGCTGGGGAAACAGCCGGGGAAATAATCGGGGAAATGGTCGGAGAAGAATCGGATTACCATTAATGGTTCAAAAAGGCCTACAAGTCAAAAATTTTGAGACCGGTACTTACAATAAGGGTAATTTACAAATAAACCTGTACTGTAGATTTGTTTCTCAATATTACAATATTGACATTTTCTAAATTTGTCATTGTGTATTGTGACAATAGCTAAACATTCAAGTTAAAAAAATATTGGTTCCTAGAAGAGTATATTTTATTTACTCGTTGTTAACATTTCGAACACATTTGACGTTGCCTGGGGTTAAGTATAAAAGCCTTGATGTCCCATACTGCTTCGACAGCACACTTTACGACTGTTGTTACAAGTGCAAATTATTGTAATCTCTTATACTAATCAAGTATCATGGAAAAATGGAGTTCTCGGGTAACATTTCTGTTATCAAGCAATAGTACGTGTAAATATAATACGAAATACTAGTCAATAATTATTATGGTCTATGCAGGAGGATAAAGCTTTGGTCAAACTCTACAGCGTGTGCGGTTTCCAATGGATAACTATATCCCATATGCTGGGTACCAAATCTGCTTATCAATGTGCTCAAAGGTAAATTTATTGACTAACTCATTTACTTGTTACTGGTAGTGACCATCTTGTTGACAGTTTGAACTATACATGCCATATTATCTATGCTGATTAGATGGCGTAATGCGCTGCAACCTGGAAGTATGTATTGTAATTTACTCTTATAAAAACAAAGAAAACAAATTTTATGTATTGCATAAGGTTATTTATTGATTTACGTTGGTACAACCTTTATCTGTTACGTCCATTGAATAACAGTCAACACAAACTCGTTTACTCTATTCGAACGCGAAGCGGTCAAAGAGCTGTACTGTATCCATGGTGCTAGATGGAGTAGAATTTCCTCGTGTCTTCCTGGTCGTACTCCAGAAATGGTAAAAGCCGTCTGGGAGCAGATGCAAGCGGAAGAACGTATTCGAGTTCAAATGTCAATACAGAAATTATTGAATTGACGTTTATTACAGTCTATGTTCATAAAATTACAGGTTTTTAACTACGATTATATGATTTAATTAAAATATACATGTGGGGTGTTACGACAAATACCAACGTCTTGTTTCCAGAATAAAAAATTAACGTTTTCATTACACCGTATGTTTGTAGACTGCCGTAAGTATCAACTTTTCTTAAAAAATTGCTAATTCAAGAATTGTGCAGTTAACATTCAAGTAATACGTGAAACTTCCAAAATGCACGCTATTCAAGCTCGGGCGTTAGCGGCGTAATACACACTTTCGTGAAATAAAAGCTTTTCGCAAATAGTAATTTCTGTCCCATCATAACCGCGCCCGTGAATTACACGTGACATTAAAAAACTATCACATCGAATTAAATTGTGTCATTACCGTGAACAACGATTAAATAAAGGATTGCAGTCACGTTTGTCTTTTATATTATCGTTGTCAACAGATCTATCAAACTTTAACATAGAGTATAAAGAAGTCTTCCGCATCTGTGGTGTGACCGTTTTTACTATAACCCAGGATGATGTATAATGAATAGTCGTAAGACTAGTTAGCGACACAAATTAATTAATTTAGCGCGCAGCTACAAGCCTTTCACAAAGTGCATTACATTAATGCAACTAATGAACAACGCACTAAATTACAAATAATCTTACTTGCCTCCAAAAGTAAACTAAAACTTTATTTAATTCGCAAAAACGTGAGCTTGCTTATACACTCGCAACCATAGCAAAACAAAAATATACTGTTAGAGCAGATAAATTAATTGTAACGAAAATTTGCAACAAATAATGATGTGTTTAACATAGGATTATTTGCTTATATACCAAAGGACGTAAGTACCCGAGATCGAAAAAAAAACGCAATGGAATCTGTCAACAAGACTTTACGGCAAAGCATCATCAATTAGGTCGGTGTTCACTATTAAAAGTAAATGTAAAATCATGGTTAGTTTGCCGACCAATATTGCGAGGTCGAATTAAGATACTCCAAGTACACTCTTACGACCAGACTCAAAATGATGCTGTTTCTCTCGTACCCCGTTTATATCTCTCCTTTTGTTTCGCCTCAAAGTGGGAATATAAACGGATATAAGTGTACAATGTATCTTATCGTATAAGGATATTTGTTTTATAAAACGTTGGGGATATAACTGAGGGTGAGATATAACTGGGTAGGGATATAAACGGGATACGAATGTACATGCGGTTTACAGGAAAGTATCCGTGACATTATCTTTCCTCTTGAGAATTTATTCTACCAATAAACGCCATTTGAGCTGTTCTTAACTATGCTTATTTAAATTGAAGAAAAAGTTTTATGGTACCCTTTTGCTGTTGCGGCTATTCGCAAGGTTACAGAGCACTAGACATTTACACAATTCATTGCATTTCACTGATTCGTTGCAAAGGCTTAGAAATCGGTTTGATTTTCAGTTTAAGTATCCCTTAGACTGTTTCGATACAAATTTTAATGATTTATTTAGGTCTTAATACAGTAACTATAATCAAGTGAGTGTGCTTTCCCACAAATGCGCTCGTACCATCTGGAGAACTGCCCAGGTATTTTATTATTCTTGGTTCACTGAAAAATCTCTCTGAATTACTGGATATAATCTCCAACATATAGTTTTAGATCACTACATCGTATTGTCACGTGTTGATTCAACCTCGTCACAGAAGTACTCACACTAGTAGCATAAACCGTGGTGATAGTAACATTAATAAGTTCTTTAGCAATATCCTAACGACTAACCCATAAATTATTTTTGACTCAAATACCAAAGCGTAATTACCATGAAACAACTGCATTGGACCAAGAAATAGATGAACTCGTGAGGAAATTCAAATCGATAATGAATTATCAGGAGGAATAACTGTCTTTACTCCCTCTAGGAATAGGGAAACTAACATAGTATCAATAGGCTCAAATTTACCTATTATTCTGCCAGTTTTTGCTACGATTTATAGTCAGGTTGAACTTCAAAATAAGACAAGTGCAGATAGAATAAAATAATTGCATCATCTACCGACTAAAGGATAATTATAAAATGGTGTTTATAAGCAAATTAAAAAACCCCACTCTACTTGAAGACCTAAGAATATTGCTCATATTACAGCGTGTTCATAAACCGTTGTTTATACATAGTTTTATGACGTTAATGTGAGCGACAACTGATATCGAATGTCAAATATAACAGTTCATTGAAACGAGAAGGCCGATTTTAATGCAATAATGTATTAGTTTTAGTATTAACACAGATCGAGTTAACAGGACATATCTCATCGTTACGGTAAGTTTAAATAATTTTCCAGAAAAAATTTATGACAGACAATGTGTTAGCTTCTTCTATTAGCCTAGAAATCAAGTACCACTTTTTTAATGTTGCAACAGAAACTATTTATCGGAAACAGTTTATTCGTAAACCGAGCTCTTTTACAAGATATAAAGCTTGTCCATTAAGTGCTTGGTATAATAAATTTTTGCTTCCATTCTTCAAGTGTTGTCTCAAAATTATTTATTTTTTTTCGACATTGCAGGCAATATTTACGTCTACTGTCATCGTCTCATTCTCGTTAAGCTTATTTGGGACGTCTGTTCTTGTATGACGAGATTATAGTCGTCGCCTTGTCTGCTTAGTAATGGAAGATTATTTCTCACAGCCACAGATTTCGCTAAAAATGAGATAGTACTATGCTTAAGGATTCAAACAACATGAGTGTCCCGCTTTATTATCTCATAAACAGCAATACCAATACGTAATTCACGGTCTGTTGACTGCGTATAGACTGAAGATATGTCACTTCAACTTTCCAATTACTTTTCTTTAGCTGACGAGACTAAACTTAACAAAGCTAGTCGTTCTCTCTAAGCGAGTGGGCTGAATTATGCTGCAGATCATTAATCCGTTTGTCGTAATTGAATGACTATAAAGAGTCTCTGAATGGAGATCCAAAAAAAAAAAAATAAATAAAATTTTTTTTAAACAAGTTTATTCTGCAATTGGAAATTTTTATCAATGGAGTATTAGTTGAACTCTGTATATACAGCGATCTTATTTATTAACATTTTAGACACAGCCTTGATCTATACAGTTAATTAGCGCAGTATATATATATCTCTCTTGTCAACGTGAAAGCCTTAAAGTAGCAAGCGCATAGTTTTGCATGCGTGTTATAATACAAAAAAGGTTTTGTTTAACAAAAATCTATATCTGATTTATTGGGGGTAGTTTCAAGAATAGAGTTTATCAAAAATAACTTTCGTCAAGTAAATTGAATGATTTTATTGGCTAAATTCAAAAGACAAAATTCGTTACCGACAAAGTTGCTTGGGAAAATTTTTTATTGTCAAGATGTTTACTGCACCATGAGTTTATTTTGTTCGCAAAGATTAAGATGCTTGCTGCACTATGAGTTTATTTGCTAAATAAAATAGTTTTCAGTTGATAATAGAAAGAATTTCTTTAAATAGACGTGTTCGTAAATAGATAGGTGCGTTTTATTGTACGAGAATGGTAAAGTTTGCAATCAATTTTAAATAAATGCTATCATATTCAACAATAGAAACCATTTACCCCTTTACGATACAATATAAAGTGAGAATCTCAGTGTGTTAAATTACAAATGCAATGGGTTACGGCAGCTAGTGAGCATCATGTGTTTCTTTTCACAAAATTCATTCGTACAATTGAATATGTTATCTCTATTATGTTTTCTGTCCTTGGGTGCTATCTATAAGCCTCATGTGTGATTATCATCTCGTGCTATTAATATCGCATACTAGTGGCGTAAGCAAAGACAACACAACAGCTGATAATTTTAGGTTTGTTGCCAAGCCATATTCAAAGACCAGTATCACCAGACAATTTCAAAGACCCTTATAGCACGTGGGACGACGAATCGCAGAATTAAAGTTCGTACGACATAGATATTAATATGATTTCTATGGGAAATCATCCATATGCATTGTTATTATCGGTTCGGTTAAACAATTTATTTCAATGGTATTAATTGTAACTTACGTAATCAAACTAATAATTGTCACTATTAATATACTCATTCTTATCTCTTTCATCTCGCCGGGTCACATTTTATACAAACGTTAGCGCATAGTTTTTCGTAATACATGCCAAGAAGATCAACGTCATTGTAAGATAAATAGCTTGATTGTTTGATAAATCAACCAATAAGTAGTCCTGTTGTTTTTGTTTGACTAACTAAAAATAAGTAACAAATAAAGACCAGACCTATTACTCCTGTATGTACTCATGCACACACAACGCTTCTTTTTCGGCACACGCCTTTTTGACCGCGCTAATTGATCATGTAGTCGCATATCTGGTTTGCAGATAACAGTGAAGATGTTATTATTAGTTACAAACAGGTCATCAACTGTCAGTGGGATACGGCTAACAAGCATGCAGCTGCGTGAAAGCGGTCTTTTACCGTCTACATAATAGTAACGAGTTAATAATTGTACTAAATCAGACATCAGCCTTGATATTATGTAATATTAATCACCAGATAAACCTTGTACGAGGTTTCCTGATTACTCTATTTTTATAATGCCTTTGAGAAGGGCTGCATGCATGCTTATGTCGCCTGTTGTGCCTATGTGCTTTCGTTGACGATTGTGTTACATCTTTGCAGCGTGTACCTCAATTTCCCACTGGCTGACACAAAATAATGTGACATTTACTGCATATTTACTGCGGGGGTATTAGACATTCTTTGTTGGGGGGTATCCGCAGACCTGCATTGAATTCTGCACGATACTATCATTAGGATTTTGCTCGGCGTATGTACCAGGCTGGAAAATGCGGGTCTAACAATTGGACTTGGCAAAAAGAATATTAAACAGTCTCGCGGCTGAATCATATATTGTCTATAGTTTGCGCTAATAACTACCTGTTGTGACAGGGCGAACAAATGTAGTATAAGGCGGGGGGAGGTCACTAATTCTCGATTTTTCAAGGAGCTAAAAAAAGTAATTAATACTACACAATTATTAATAGAACCAATAATGAAGTAATAATACGCCTTTGTTTTTTCAACGAATATTTACTCCGCAAAAGTGAATACGATATTTGGGCATTTAGTATCTCAAGAGTGCATATAACTAATTATTATGTAATTTTACAAAAAAAAAAGGTATATAAAGACTCACTGTTTCCTCCCATCGTCTCTCCAGTGTAGGAAACTACATAGCAAAGTATCAAGTCCATTCAATACTTTCTGTCGTATCACCGCCTTATCGTTGAAACGAAATAATCTATATTCGAAATGAAGAACATGAAGACCTTTTTTGCGATCGCCCTCCTCCTTCTTGTGGTTTTCCAATTGACAGACGCATGCTTCCAACAAGACAATGCTAGGAAGGCCGCAGCGTTGAATAAAAAATTCAAGGGCATCAAATTGACTGACAAATGTGTTGACGGTACCTTTGGTTGTATCGGTGGCAAGTTTGTTAAATGTGCCTTCAAAAAATGGGTTTCTTTCGACTGCCCACCGACGGAAACATGCAGTTTCCTTCCTCTTGTTAACAAGCCTGGAACCACGTGTACTTGCGGTGTGTATTTGTTTCTCGTTCTTCTTCGCGTTATTACTTTAGTACAATTTTACTCATCATTTACAATTAACTATCTCTAATATAGATACTCCGGCTGATATTGCATCACGCTTTAAGCTTGCCAGGGAATGCCGAGGAAAGACTGGTTAAATGAAAGTTATTAATTTAGACCTGTTATAATATTTATTGCTTTGATCACGCCTCCCTCCTGTTCCCTATTATAAGGTTATGGAGTGCAAATAATGAAAACAGTTAAAGAAGGCTTTTTATGTGCCTTGGTTTATATAAATAATTTGTTCGAATACTGATCAAGTGTTCGAATGTAAAAGATATTTTTTGTCTTGTAATAAATTTTATTTATACGATAATGTTGGAATCATGATAAACGTTGGTTCTAAATTTGATCTAATAAACAATGTTTTCGACTTTATCTACTTGTGCTCGACAATTCAGATTATGCAAACGTCTTGAATGAGAAAAATTTAAAGACAGTAATATACATGTGGATAATTACATCAAACTTTAGGCGAGAGCTTGATTAACTATACTACCAATGCTTTTAGAAGATTCATCATTGTATGATTAAACAATAATACTAATGTTCAGTCAATGCAGAGTCTTGCAAAATATTATTGGTTCGTCTTTGTTGAAGAGTTGTAATATTGTTACTGTCCAATGTCTTTATAACTGTTGAAAGAATAACAAAAATGGTATATCAAATACTTTGAATCATACAACTGGATGTTTCGATCTTTTCTGAAATTTATTTGTTCGCCAAGCATTTGAAATAGAAGTGTTTTATATTTTATCTTAGATGTCGTCAGCCCTTTCCTTTTCTTTGTTTTATCCAGCATATAATCTTCTAACGTCTTTAATTGGTATGCAAAATTTAGCAACGAGCGATCTAGACTGTAACCTGACGTAACTTACGCAAGGGTCCGCTAATCAGATCCGATAATGCATTCATGATGACGAACCCCTATTCCTGCGTTCATTAACTTTATATTATTTAAGGTAACGATGACCGCCATTTTGCCTTATCCGACAAGCACAAGGGGACGTATCAGCTTAATTCTCTGCAGTTTAACACACTCTCAGCTGCTGTTTTAGGAAACTCTTAATATATAATGCAAAACGTGCGCTAACGATTTACAGTACATAAAATAATATGAAAACAACTATAGTTAGTTGCCCTCCGCATCGACTGCACAAGCACCTACGTAAATAATATGTGGTCAAAGCTCCAGAATCAATTATTCACATAATCACATTATGAATTGCAATCTCTTGTATAAAAATTCATTAGTTTTATTGTAAATCAACTTAAATTCTTCATATTAATATACACGTACTATATATTAAACGTTTATATGCGTCTTTTCTATTCTTAATAACGTACAAAGACGCTTTTTTTGGAAAGCTATCTTATTTTCTAGCTTACGATTATCGGGTTAAATACCACAACACTTTCCAGATAAGATAACTTTCTAACACTACACCTCTAGCCATTAAAGCACCGTTTAATATTGTCCCGAGCTTGGAACCCAGTGATAAATACGTATCGTCTGTATTCTGCATGTTGCAAATGAGTGGTTTAATCTTGTCCATATAAACGTGCTTTCTCGAAACAGAATTGTAATTATTTACGGCGAATTTTGATGACTTGCGTAAAACAATCAGAAAGCTTTATCTCTCGCGGACCTAATGCAAAACAGCACCTTTTTTGTTTATTCTCAATATATACTAGGGAAACGGGAACCGTTGTGAGTCCGGAGCAATCAATAACGTCGTCAATCACAATCATTGGTCGATATCATGTGCCGAATAGAGAAATTCATGTGATCATACAGTAATAATCCTTCGCTTTGCCCGGACAATGATATTCCAGACAATAACCGAGTCAGTGCGTAAAGCGGTTATACTGTTTATTTGTAATTTATTAAAAAGTTTCTGAAGCTATGTAAAAATTTTCTATAACCCGTATTGGGGGATTTTTTTTAACTTCGAAATTACCTTTGAATTCAAAATTACGATTGCAAGCATATTAGACTTGTAAAGTAGATATGGTGTAAACAAATACTCCTTCCCCATTATATCTCCATCAAACAATCTAGACTTTCTCAGCTAACAAAGGCAACCGTATATGCACCCCCTACATCAAATCCCGCAAAACCAAAAAACTGACGAAACTACAACACAACACACCCCCCCCAAACGAAAATATAAATGAAAATCAACCATCTGAACTTGCGACTACCACCAAACCAGTCCGCAACACAATAGCAGAACTGTCAACTACTATGCTCCAAATTTCAAAATACGCCAAATGCCGCTTAGAATATTATCAATTTTTTTTCCTCTTTAGTAATGTTTTGTACACTTTCAAAATACACATACAACAACAGATACCTCCCTAAATCGTTTATCAAACGTATAAGTTCAGATCACATGATCACATTCAAACAAATAATTATTAACCACCGCTAACGATATCGCAGTTAATAAAACGTTTAAAGGACTCAATTTAAAAACTGAAAACGAAAAGAAGAAATAATCTCAATTCTGATTATCGTTCTCCAGATAACGCTTATGGTCCGCTCCGACAGACCGTCGTCTTTTCGCAATCTAGATTTCCCGAAAAAATCTTACTTTCTCCTATTGCAGACGATTTGCTAGACTTGAATAATTTTTAAGTTCACAGAGTTAATTTTTTCTCCACTTTTTTAAAAATTTGTTGTATTCAATTACTAGCATCCCGCCCGCAATAAACACTTACAAACATAGAACGTTATTAAACAATATGTAAACAGTTAATTACAGTCGACGAGTTCTGTATTCTACTCTGGAATAGATTACGTAATATATCTTGCATGTTAAGGAGAGCCTGATAATTTAAGTGTAAGTTGAATAATCTGATTTATTTGATTTTTAATATAATAAATGCATAGTTTATCTGTTTGTTACATTAAAAAATTTGACAATTTTTGTTTCTTTTTCGTTATTATTAAGATTTATACTAATAACTATTGTAGAATATTAATGCTATAATTATAAGTATGATAATTAAATTTACATGTCAATGTATTGTAATTTATATAATGGGTAGATACATAAATAACCATTGCTTTCAATTGGCATGCCAAGCAGCTAACTAACCTTTTATCTCTAACCAGCTTCAGGGACAGATCCTTCACAAGCAGCTAAGTAACCACCGAATCAGTCCCTCAAACTCGATCCA